AAMAAAAAARAAAAAAAAAACACTCTCTCCTATTCTCAAGCATTTACGCCAGTAAAATCTTTCATATGACGGGTTGAGGTTGAGGTTTTGATAGGTGGATTATTTTCATACTCGTTTCCAGCCCCCTTTTGAATTTCGCAAAGGCCAATACAGGTACTTTATACTATTTTGGTCTTGTTTAGCYTAACTACCTACTACTTGTATCATATTATATTTGTATTATTTTTTAATATACAATATACAGAAAATATGATCGTTTTGACATGTTTCAAGCACATATAAAATATATCAGAAATTTTGGGATATCACCGCCAATATTCTTTTGAAGTTGAATAGCACTAGTACTTTCTGAAAAAAATATTGGCGATGATATCCCATAATTTCTGATATATTTTATATATACTTGAAATATGAGGCAAAAAGATCAGATCTAATATCTAATATCCGACTCTAATATCTAATATCTAATATCCGACTCTATTGATTCGATGATTAATATTATACTGTGGCATTACGTTCATTATTTCATATGTTTAGTGTTTGCCAGTCTAGGAGACCGAACATTCCCGTAAATAGGTTAGGATAAAATTTCTTGACGTCACACATCGATATTTTAGGTTTATCTTTGTAAATTATCATGTACCTTTTATGCAATACATTAATAATATACATAATGTAATAATAAGACGAGAACTTTTTTTAGAATAGAACGTTTTTTGTAAATTAAAGGCCTGAGTATAATCAAATAGTATTATTAATGTAACTTTTTCATTGTTTAAAGTAGGATTTTATGCAATGTAATCGAGTGATTGTACTTAAACCGTGCAACTGTAAAAAATCTAAGTAGCACTAATTTGTACTAAAAGTGGACCTGAAGCAAGACTGTATAGAATGCTTCATTTGTATCAATTCAATTTAATTTGTGTACCGCATGCACGATTTAATAAATACACTAAATATCACTATTTAGTTTGTACAGTTGCACGGTTTAAGTGCGATCACTCTAATAAGACTAGAGGACTTTTTTTAGAATAGAACGTTTGTGTAAATTAAAGGTCTGAGTATAATSAAATAGTATTATCATAGTTAGTATGGTATTATATATCACATCATTGTAATTAATCAATTAGGTTTAGTTTAAGCATGAGATTTATGTTTTAAAAGTTATTTTTCAATATACCTGGTATTGTTATCTCCTTTCTCTAGTAAGGCTTCTGAAGAAAGACTTCAAAAGACAGACACRATCAACCAAGAAAAGAACACATATAACACCACATACATAGACACACAAGYTAGAAGGATTTTTTGYGATTTTGGCTGATGACCGCGCGCTCGAAAAAGCCASACAATCATTTTTGGAAAATATTTTTTYCCTCTGATAAAAACACTASAAAGATCTCTMGAGAAGCAACACATGCTTTCCTTGTGTGCTCTTTTTACATCTAGCCTGCGTCACATCCGGACAAACCACGGTTATTGGTTATC